AACTATCAAATAACCCAACTATCTATTTTCCAAATTATCAATCATTCGAATTATCAATTTTCTAAATTATCAATCATTCGAATTATCAATTTTCCAAATCATTCGAGACAACATTGAAAAAAATATAAAATTTGATTCGTGGTAAACATAATCCCTTAACGTTTGAATATGAGAATTTGAAAATAAGAATTTTAAATCATATAAAATTAAAGTGATATAACACTAAAACTACCGATTAATTAAATTGACTTCCTGAAATTACTTTATAGCGCCTCCAAGAATATATCTCTTGAAACTTTAATTGTCGTATTCCTAATTTCTTTAATACTTTCTCGAAGATCTCTCATCTTTAATACAAGAAGAAGAAATCAGGAATGGGTCATTTGATCTGCCTGGTAGTTTCAGTGTTAATAATTGTCTCCAGGTTTTACGAATGACCGTAGAGAAATATTAATAGCAGACGCGAAGATCCACATCGAACGCGTTTGAAGTTCGCAGGAGCACTTAAATGCTCGATTGTCAAAGAGTTAAGTGTTAGAGGACATTTCGTCCATCGTCTCGTAGAGATTAACTTTTCGCAGATAAATTCGCTAGGTCGTTTTTCATCGCTCGAGCGTCGTTCGCTGGATCGCGGATCCAAGGCTGCGACCGGTTACATCAACCTCCGCGCAACGAGCCGCAAGTTTCCATTTCGCGAGCGGTTCGATTCGAAGAAGTAATCCTCGCTCGTGAGATGAATACCGGTCCAGAGCGAAGATGGCCCCGAAGATGTCGGATATTTCCACGAGACGACGGCATATCGTTACTGACGCGCTCTTTTAACCCTTTACGATCCCACGTCGGGGACAGTCAATTTTATCTTAATTACTGTGTATTTTATCGTCTTTCGCTGCAGTCATTAATCATATCGTAATTGTGTCGCATAAATAGTTTCAGTACTTCTTAAAGTTTCCATATAAATTATTAAAATGTCGCATTAAACTGAAGATAAATTGAGTGACGTTAATTTGAAAGTTAAACTGAGGACGATGAATGTTTAGGAACAAAAGCGTTTTCTATATGAAACTATATATTAACTTTGAACAAATTATACATTGAACTCTTGTATTTTAACAATAGAACTACCGACCACTGAACTGCAATTTTTATTGTTTAAATAATCAAATTCTATCGTTGCGACTTTCAAAGGCATTTACTGTGCAGATTGTTCTATTGTTCTTGAAAAAATTGTTATCCGTTCATTTAGATCTTAGAGATTAGAAGTTTAACCCCTAACGGTTGACAATTTTCTATTAACTCTTTGCAAACGAGACTGTTTTAAACTTCTAACATTTCTTTTCACAAATAATTGAATTATCGAAGTCTTGACTACTAAAAGAAAAAGAACCATATGTCAATCTCTGGTTAATTGAATAATTGAAATATTCCTTCGTTTTTGATTTTATATATCAAAGCTCAAAATCGCCAATACGGCGACATTCGAAATTCGGGTTAAGAGTAGATAATTAGGATACATATTTGCATCCAAATGCATAACTAATTATAGTACACAATCATTGCATAACTGTGTTAATAAAAATCGACCCAAACATTTACCAAATAAAGCTTACAAAATTCAAGATGACTCAAACTGACTCGTCCCGTAAATCCAACGTTAACAGCCCATCGACATCGCTATCTTCCCTGAAACAGGAATAAATAGCTCGAGTGAAACTCGCTTGTTCATTACGAATCGTACGAGAAGACGCCTCGTTAAAAATCATAGGGACGACGACGTTCCGTCGGAGAAAGGAGGAAATGGCGTCGTTACGTGTCCAGGCCCTACGACCTCCAGCCGAAGAAATACATATCCCTCCGCGGCGATCGCGCCGTGAATCCTAATCGGCTCCGTTGGCCGGTTTTCGTAAATGTCTCACGTACAGCCGAGCAGTTTTCGGGCCAAGGATCGAAAAGGGTTTCGGAGATGTTGAAACAACGCATTAGGCACTCCGGGTCCCGCCGCGAGCGCGTCCGCCGAAGAGAAAGTGCTTTTTCGTTCATTGCGAGAAATACAGCTGTGCGATCCTTGATTGCCGGTAATTAGGGGCGGATTTAATAACAGCCATCTCGGGGAATCACGGACGTTACGTCGCCAAACTAATTATCCGGATGGGCGATAAAACCGGGATGTCAATAATAATTTCAGCTTTTAGTAACGGGAATGAATTTGGAGGCTGGAGTTCTGAAAAGGAATCTTCGAATATTTCAATATCAGACTGAGTTTAATTGTATATGATAATTTACACTCCGCGCGAACTTTTATTATTCGTTACCGGTTTTCTGGGAGCATTTCCATTAATTTCGTGGAGTTATCGAGGACATTGACCTGAGTGACTCATCTCGAGATAATTGAATCGAATGAGACGGAGTATTGATTTTACGCGATTATCGATGTCTTAGGAGGTATTAATATTGTTGTAAGGTTTGAATTTATTCGCTGTAATGTCGTTCGAAATCAGATGCAATGTTTATAGGCATGCGAAAGAGTTGAGAGAGAAATGATCGCTGCTGAAAGGTGGAGATTTTTCGGTTTCCGTTTCATTAGCAAAATTGCTTCGACTCGGTGGAATCTTGATGAGCGCTGATTCGGCAGTCAACGTGTCAAATGAGGGCGGTTCGGTCGGCGAGAGGAGCCAGAGTCGAACAATTAAAGTTCGCCGGGGCGACAAGCGACGCGGAGGACGCGTTATCGTCAGACCAGAAATCCGGCATACGGAATTAGCCACACTGCACAGGACGCCGTGGAAATTGTGCTTAAACCCGCGACGCAAAGACACCGCGGCAACACTCGTAACACGTACCTCCTCCATCGTTTACTTCTTTTTGTTCTTCGGTTGCAGAGAGGCGAGCTGTAGAATTTTTCGAGAGTACAGTGCGGCGATTATCCAAATTATCGATTATTCGAATTATCAATTTTCCAAACTATCAAATATCCCAACTATCTATTTTCCAAATTATCAATCATTCGAATTATCAATTTTCCAATCTATCAGTCATTCGAATTATCAATTTTTCAATCTATTAGTCATTCGAATTATCAATTTTCCAAATTATCAATCATTCGAACTATCAATTTTCCAAATTATCAATCATTCGAATTATCAATTTTCCAAATTATCTATCATTCGAATTATCAATTTTTCAAACTCTCTATCATTCGAATTATGAATGTTCCAAACTATCTATCGTTCCAACTATCAATTATCCAAATTATCGAATATCCCAACTATCAATTTTCCAAGTTATCAACCATTCGAATTATCAATTTCCCAATCTATCAGTTATTCGAATTATCAATTTTCCAAACTATGAATCATATAAATTATCAATGTTTCAAACTATCGAATATCCCAACTTTCTACTTTCCAAACTATCAATCATTCGAACTATCAATGCTCTAAACTATCCATCATTTCATCTATAAATTTCCCAAACAATCGATTATTCAAATTACCAATTCTCTAAACTACCTATCATTCCAACTATCAATTATCCAAACTATGGAACATCCGAACCACCGATCATCCAAATCACCACAATCCCTACTTTCCCTAACAATTAAGAATCAAACCACACAGCAAGCCCCCAATGAATTCCTCCAAAACCCAATTAACATTCTCCGCGATGCACACATTACCAATTACAGAGACATCTCGTACCACACTATTATTAATTACAGGTTCGCTTCCCACAAAGTTCACGCACGTTTAATTACCCGATCATTCGAACAATTCAATATTCCGTACCACTTCGGTCACAATTGGTCCGGTTAATTGACGCTACCATTATAATTAGCTTTCCGGTCACGCGAACCGTCCCGCCCCGCGTCTGTCAGTTCCTCGGTGGCTTTATTAGAAACGAGAACCGCGGAAGATTTCGTCGGTGAATAATTGACGGCGATAGGCGGCGCGGAGGAGGGAGAAATCACGCGGCCAGCGGTATGACAGGATCCGAGGCGGATCGTCGCGGGTTTAACGAACGGCTAATGAAATTACGCGGTTCCGAGAATTTCCGCGACGCCGGGAACGACACGCGGTTCTGTGATAATTGATCGGAACGGTTTACCTACCGGCCGACGCCGTGATATTTACCACATAATAGACTCCGAGGAATTTCCCCGAGCGTGAAAACCTTTTCCTCGTGTTTCGTTATTTCGCAGTTATACGATTTCGCTTATTAACCCTTTGCACTCCGTAGGCGCCTCTCAGTCGCCGATTGATTTGACACAGCAAAATTATAGAGTTTGACATTTAATATTAAACTTTGTACAATGTGAAATATTAAAATAAAACAGCCTCTCTCTTTAGTTTATGTATGATTTCTCGTTAAGTCAGTTTGAAAGAATGTCATTGGTATTTCATTAAAAAATGTTGAGTGTTTCTAATGAAAAACTTCTGGAGTGCAAAGGGTTAACTCCTCGACCTATGATTTCTTTCTCAACTGTGATCAATACGGCTACTTTGTCATTAATAATTTATTGGAAAAACAGAAAAATTCTAAGCATATGTTATGCCTATATTTCCTTTTAATTGTAATGGCTGACTACAGAGGAATATTTATTTTGAATTGGAATTAATTGAGTAATGTATATATTTGTTGAATCATGTTGAAACTCTTCACGAGTCTCACTCGTAGGACAAGGGGTTAAAATCATTGCGAGGATATTATTCGAATAAATAGTAATACGATTCTGATAAATGATAATATAATTCGAATGAATGGTAATATATACATTTATTTCCAATATTAATGATATTTTCTTATAATTATGCAGATTCTTTAGGGTATCGGAAAATTTGTATTCTCATATATTGAGAAGCTTTTGAAGGGTGCACGAACGTTTTCAAAATGCTCAATTGTTTAAAAAATAATGCAATAAACCGTTCGCAATAAGTGACCGTCAATCACAGATCCATCAGCGCTTCAGCAGCCAATTAAAATGTCGACGCTCTCTGTTCCAGAATTGTGAAAATGCTGCCCTGACCAATTGAAAGTGACACGGCTGACGGAAAATGGCTTTGACCGTCGTACCCTCGGCCCGCGTTTTCAATGGAAACGGTGAGTTAATAAATGTCGCCGGAATCGAAAACATCGAAACGCTGCGCTTTTGTAATCGAATGAATTTAATCGATCAAATTGCCGTTATTTCGCTCACCGGTGTTTACCAAGCGCATACATATGTATTATTCTCCGGGAGATAATTTATTAAAAATAAACCCGGTCATTACCGGGAATATTTATTCCCCCGCGGAAATTTGCATGCCAATCATTCTCGTTATTGTACCAAGTGTTTAATTAATAAAGTCTCGATTCCCTTTTATCTTAATATAAACTTGTACACGATTATATTCTGCAATTAGCCCCTGCATATTAAACATCGGACGCGGGCCATTATGCTCGTTTCAATTCGCGTCAATTACACTCGCCTCTTTTGTTCATCGTTCGATGTGTTTTCGACAGCATTCATTCACAGGCTATCAGACGGGTCAGGTGAACCTATTGTAGAATGTTTAGTCTGCAAGTATTTGAATTATGACAATGTTTTCGTTAAAAATTGTAAAATAAATTTGTATAGACATAACAATGGACATCGAAATGTTCTAATTTTTGTATAAACTTAGAAATCAGTCACATCAATTGCTCGACAGTTTTAACCCTTTGCACTCGAGAGGTGACTCCGTCTTCGCTTGATTTGATTTGCAAAATTATAATTCGTTTCACCTATAAATTTCCCAAACAAACAATCATTCGAATTATCAATTTTTCAATCTATTAGTCATACGAGTTATCAATTTTCCAAATTATCTATCATTTCAACCATCAATTTTTCATGCTATCAAATATCCCAACTATCAATTTTTAAAATTATCAATCAGTCGAATTATCAATTTTCCAAACTATCAATCATTCGAATTATCAATATTCCCGAATACATACCATTCCAACTATCAATTATCCAAACTATCAATCATTCGAATTATCAATATTCCAAACTATCTATCATTTCACCTATAAATTTCCCAAAGAATCAATCATTCGAATTACCAATTTTCCAACCTATCATTCCAACTATCAATTATCCAAACTATGGAACATCCGAACCACCGATCATCCAAATCACCACGATCACTACTTTCCCTAACAATTAAAAATCAAACCACTAAGTAAGCCCCCAATTATTCCATCAATATATGGAATATTGAAATAAAATAACTTTCCTTCTTAATTTATACATGTTCTCTCATTAATTAGTTTCAAAGGACATCGTCCGTATCTCATCAGAGAATGCTGAATATTTCTACTAAAAAACTTTCGAATGCAAAGGGTTAAAATACTTTCTACCATACCGAAACGAATCGAACGTTCACTTTCCACGTAAAGTGATACTGAAATAAATATGAACATCTATTTGTCACTGATTGGCGCTACAGCAAAAGGCACTTTTACGTTATCCGCGCGTAAAGCGTCAAATTAACTTTCTTTCGGCGCTCGGCAAGTCGAAGTCATTTTAATCCCCATCCTCGCTGTCTATTCCCCGTCATTTCTTTTACCATTAGTGACTCACTGAGCCGCAATCCTAAATGGAACCGCCACCATCAGCGATACGAGCTCTGAGCTAATCGAGGCGCGGCGAAGCGGGCGCGCATCTTTGAGCCGGATAAAAAAGATCTCCGAGCAAACGATCCGCGTGACGCGGCAATTGGAACCCGTTCTAAATTAAAATTTCACGGAAAACCGTGGAACCGCTCATCGCGGCCGACTTCGCGCGCCGCCGGGGCGCAGCATTGTGCGCCCCGCTCAGCGGCTTGCTTCGACCTATAATTATCCGAAGAAATTGTCAACAGCCCGCGGGAACAAAGATATCTCCGATCGTAAGAGCGCGTCACGGCAGCGCGACTCGTTGCACGATCTTGCCGCAAAAGTTCATTAAGTCAATGCCACGGGGATCGCGATAGCGCGAACAATTCTGTGCGACAGTGTTGTCCACGCTTTGCGCGCGGATAAATCAGTCCTCCCCTCGCTTCGGTCGCGTTGTCAAAGGAGCCGAGGAAATAACGCGACGAGTAAGCGTCTGTTGTTTAATACGTTGAGTGCCGCACGATCTTGCCGAGAAAAATATAGAAAATGACGATAATGTAATATCAACTTATATAATTGAATTAGGTTGTTATTGCAGGTTCGAATTGTTGAATGCCAGTGCGTTAAGTAGTATTACTTATAATATTGGGAAGTTTTCAAATAATCGTTTAATCGAATGAATTATAGTGATTCGATTTGGTTGAGGTCACCCGTGACCCCCATGGCATTCAACGTGTTGAACGATCTCGAAGTAGAACAAAGTCGATGGTGGAAAATAAGAGTATGGGATTGGTATGATTCAGGAAAGGGTTGATGAAACTACACTTGACCCTCGATTTCGGTAGTTTTACGCGCAATCGCAATTTACGCGATCTGAATTTAGTGTTGTCTAAAATGTCGTTGTTATTGTTTGAGGGTCAGGTGCAGATGAGCCTTTGGAGCGTCTGATCGTTGACAAGTTAGAGATTTTCGAAAAGGGTCAAAAGAAATGTAATACAAAATAAGAATTAAGATTGAACTATCGAACTCGAGATTTAGAATTACCATGAATCATCTTTGTTCAATAATAATAGTACTAATAGTTAAACTGAATAGTTTAATGTAAGAGGTAGAGTTTAATTTGTGCTGAAATTCATCTCGATAGTTAAAGCTTAAAGAGTACTTTCTAAATTTATAAATTTGTATTTAGCAATTAGGTAATCTTCCATTAAACTAACTTAGCAAGCAAGTGATCTTCCATTAAACTAATTTAGCAATTAAGCAATCTCACATTAAATCAATTTAGTAATTAGTATGTTCTAAATTAAACTAACTTAGTAATCCCCCATTAGATTAATTCAATACTAACTAACCTTCCATGTTAGATTTGTCACATTAATTTTCAAAAGCTTCCATACTTCATTACTAAATGTTTCTTTCAAAAAATAATCGAAACCTTTCAAACCTCTTCCTTGAACATTAGAATTACCAATCACAACTGATTTTTACAAACTTTCTAATAACCATAAACGTGCGCTTATTAAGATTTCAATTAACTTGTATCTCAGCGTTGCTACTACCGAATTAGTTTCGTTAATCATTTCTCAGAAATATCTGTACCTTTTCAATAATTGTAAAAGTCAGGAATAAGGTATTTTGACCCATCTGGTAGTTCTAGTGTTAACCCTAGTGGTCGGCTTTGAAAATTGAAGGTTAAAGGTAAAAACAAAAGTAAATCGGAAATATAGATTCCAAATTGAACGCTTCACTTAAAAAACATTGAATTTCCCTTCAATTACTGTATTTCATAACCCTTTGCATTCGAGACGTGACTCTGAATCACCGTTTGATTTGACACAGCAAACCTATGAAGTCGAATATTTAGTATATTAAATTAAACGTATCGCTATAGGATATCAAACAATGTCGTCTATGTCTCATCGAAAAATGTTAAATATTTCCAATGAAACACTTTCGAGAGCAAAGGGTTAATTCCCCAACAATAACAATGTGAAGATCTCGCATGTTCTGTTTCCACGATGTTTCTCCGTGTTCTATCGACGATGAACGTTAGGGGTGGAAAGCGTGAAAGGGCCGCGAACCGTGAACAGCGCGATACCATATGACACGTAAACGGGATCCCCACGCTGTCCCGGCTAACGAACTTTGCCAGATTATTATTACCGTGCCTCTGGATGGTCGCCAATGGTTACAACATATTTCGGTTTACGCTGCGCGGCGGTCGTTACCCTCGAACAATCAGCCGCTCGAGATGAACCACAATCGATCCAAACCCCATCCAAAGATAGATCCCTTTCTCTCCGGTCGATCGAAGAAAGACAAGCCCCCCTGTCTAGCCTGCCGCCATTGTTTGGTCTGTTCCGATCCTCGAAATAATACCACTCTAAATACGACCACTTCGGCCCCGGTGTTGTTCCTTCCTCCGGGGATTAACGAGGATGAATGAAGTTGCGTAACATTTCAACAGAAAATTTGGTTATTGAAACGAGCCCGGTACTTGGCGTGGCGCGGCCTTTCATGAAATTTCTCGTTTCCGCCGGACAATGGCCGAGCACAAAGGATGAGCGCGTGTTACGCGATTTACATGCACCATCGAGCGGAAACTCAAAATTACTCGATTTCCAGAAAAACCCGGTGTACATTGTAAACCGCTATATATTTGAACATTTTCAGTTATAGATCATGATTCCCATATACTAAGAGAATTCCAAATGCTAACCAAACCATGAATGTGTTTCTCCTAATCAGCATCATTACCATTTTTCAAAGGAATCTGTCTGGCATCTGAAAACTCCGATGCTAATGACTAGATTGATCAGCGTACAGAGATCTCCGTATGATTCTGAATTAATTCAATCCGCTGTTGATTCCAAGACATTTGAAAGAAAAATAGAGACCTAATTAAATGATCGTTAAGACTTTTCTAGTACCCTCCGCTTTCGTGTATCGCGAATCCATAGAAACCGCGATCTGATAGCGGTTACACGTGTCTGTGGCGGAATTCGTTACTGATTTGCTGTTTGTATTGTGCGCAGTGGGGACGCAGGCCTACGTTTCCGGTTCCACGGGGTCCAAGTGCCTGTGCTGTCCGTACGGGTACCACATCGACCTGGATTTCGTGCGATACTGCGAGGCGGTCGCAGCGGGAAGTGCCGACGACAGGTCTAGCATCGAGAGACGGAAGAAAAGGGAACGTCGAAGGCAATGCCAGTCGATGGAAGTTCTCCTGGGTCTGGTAATTGATCGCGCGATTCCATAATTAAACCGTTCTAGCCGAGTGGCTTGCAGCCGGCCCCGGGGCATTCATTTTCGTACCGGGCATTAATTAAGTTATGCTCCGTTCCCCGGCTCATTATAAAATCACCGCTCCGCTGATTCTACGCTAGGTTAAATATTATCCTCGCGGAAACGCTCGCTGCCGCGCCGCCGACGACGGAGCCCTGACGATCTTTGTTTGACCGTTTCGTCGTACAATTAACGCGGATTTACACCCCCGCAAAATTAGTATTTACGTCTGGAAAGCGTTCGCTCGAAACGGGACGCTCGCCTCTAGAATTCGCGAAAGAAGTTCGATGAAAGGAGGTCTCGATTCATTTGCGTAACGGTCGTGCCGTTCGTTTTGTGCGTTGGTTTGTTGCTTTCAAAGGAGGAGTATCAATGAGTGGATTTATTTCTGTTAGTTCGTTTGTGAGGTAATGAAGTAGGTAACTTGGAGACATTGATGCTGCTTGTTAAACATTCTGTTGTTCGTATTGTACCTAGAAGCAAAGGCAAATTGCGGAATTAACCCTTTGCGGGCGAATGTCATTTTGAAGAGATGAAATTTTCGTATTTGCAATACTAAGTTCCGAACGAATGATTTAATTACTTGAATAGCAAGAGATCGGTGTAGAGTTTCCTTTTTTCTATTGTTCAAGCATTCCTGATTTCATCTCTTCCAGATATTCAATAGATGACAGATACTTCTCTGATAAAATACTAGAAAAACCAATTTAGCAGTACACAAAGCGAATTGCAAACCAACTTAAGTCTCAATAATTGCACTGTTGAGGTTTCAATAAAATAATTTCAAAAAGACAATTTGACTGCTCGGTAGTTCTAGTGTTCACGATAAGGTAATTGTATCGATCATAGTTACGAAATCATAAGTCAAGAGGTTAAATCAGTGTTTCCCAACCTTTTTTGTACCATGCCCCACCTAAGCCTTTCTAAAATTCTTATGGCCCCCCATGTAACGTATATATAATTTTTAATATTATATTACAATATTTTTATTACACTTATTACAACACTTTTGCTATTTTCTTGACGTGCGTAAATATTGTGAAATATATTTACGTCGGGCAACACTGGGTTAACTCCTTGACCTATGGTTTCTTTCTCCACTTTGATCGATACGGCTGCTTTGTCATTAATAATTTATTGAAAAAAGAAACATTCTAATCATATGTTATACCTACATTTCCTTTAACTATAACAGTTGATTATAGAGGAATAATATTTCCTTCGAATTCGAATGAACCGAGTACTATATTTGTTGAATCACGTTGAAAATCTTCACGAGCCTCGCTCGTCTTAGGCCAAGGGGTTAAATCCTCGGTAATTCTAATATTAAAAAATGCTATGATAATCTTCGATAAGCTCCGTGCAATCAAAACAAACTAGGAAGACAACGAAGAGAAGCAAAGAGACAAGGCACAATAAACACTCATCAAAGATCGACAGCTGTCGACGCGAAGGTCGCCTCGTGAATTCCCTCGTATTTTTAATCGTAGGTGAGCCCGGCCCTCGTAGGAATAGAGGCCGAACTGCCGAAAATACCGCAAGTACCTACCGCGACGAACGGCGTGGCGACTTTGCCGAGGCCGAGCTACGAGAGGCAGGGGTGCGTGCAAGATTCGTCGGCCCTCGACCTCAGCGACGTGGTGGGCGACTTCGAGGCGACCCTCAGGCGCTCCAGATCCACCAAGACCACCGGCAAACAAGATCGCA